AAAACTTTTATCTTTTTTTGGTTAACAGCTGCATGTTAAAATGTGTGAGTATATCCTAATTTAGTGCCTGTTGATATTTAGGTTGCCCCCAAACTTTTGCTATTCTTAACAATAAGAAATATCTTATCATTTCTCATGTGTGGAAATATATCTTGTGGGGTAAATCCCTAGAAGTGAAATTGGAGGTTCCAAGTATATATGCATTTGCAATTTTGATGGATACTGCCAAAGTCCCATTTCTCTATAGCCTTGCCAAAGTAGTGATGCCAGGTACAATTTTACGCTTTTTCATTTAGAAATATACAACGAAAAGTAGGTTACTTATTAAAGAATTAAGAAGTAGGACAAGTTTATGCAGCAATTTACAGAACACATTTTCACTGGAAAATACATTCAACAGGAATTTTTCATGCATCTACCATATGCCAATTGCTTTTAGGCACTTGGGATATACACACAAACAAATCAGACTCAAACCTCTGCATGTGTGTAGCTTACATTTGAATTCTACCTGTTGGAACTCTGCTACTTCATAAGAAGCCAGTTAAATGTCAAAATTCTGAAAATTCTGTTGAGATCCTGAGCACAGGCACCAGACATATGCTACAAGTGTTATTTAAAAACTAACTAGAGGCAATGTTGCATATGATTTCATAGCTCTCCATTAGGTTCTTTAAAACCACACACTAGCGAGAGAGCTCTTTTTATCTGATTCCATCTGCTTGTTGGTAGTGATCAGCATACTGTAGGCACTGTGGTATCATCTGAGATTAGGTTGTAAAATAGGAAGTGGAGTTACAGGCAGATTAGTAAGTGTATGCAAACTGTTTAGTTCTGTCTCTTGCTGAAACCAAGGGTGTCCAATTCAGGTTTGGGGAAGAGGGAAGATAAGGTTATCAGCACATTCCTATCAGGGCATAGTTTCCTTTTTGCAGTCTGTCCTTGTTTTGGTTTTAGAAAGGGATAACAAGGGGATTCCATGGAAAGTAGTTGCGGAAGCAGACAGCAGCAATTCTCTGGGTGCTGAACATAGGCGTGGAAAAGGGAGCCTGTTAGAAACTTGAGGGAGACAGAAAAGGTGGGTGCCAAGGAAGGGGAGTAGCAAATGAAAGAAAAAGACAGTAGGCTTATTTTTGCGAACCCTCATTTTAAGCATCTTTCCTTTCTAAAAGGAAAATATCTTAAAACTTTAGTCTCCCAATAGATTTAATTTAATAAGAAGGTTGTAAATAACAGCTGTTAAAATCTTGCCAATAGATTCTTTGCATCCTTTAAAGAACAATTGGAAGTTCAGCTTGTGATCAGGAAGCCAGACATTGTGGCATCTTCAAGTATGAAAAAAAGCCAACTCCAGATAGTGGCTCTTGAAGCACATCCTTGCTTTTCTTTTCTGGTGTGTATTATTATTTTATCCTGGCACCGTATGATAGACACACTCAACAATCGGTCCATGAAGGAGCAGTCTGTCACTGCCATTGATTGCACTTTAGGGCTGGGAGGCTTTTTAAGTCAACGCTCGTATTGGATAGCTCAGGTTCCCAAGGGTGAAGGGACAACCAAGGGCAGAAGCCAGGTCTCCCCGATTCCCGCCCAGCAGTTCCTCCGCCACAGGCTCGTCGCCAAGGACCTGCGACGCTGTCGCTTCCGGGCTGCCCGCTACCCGGGTGACCCGGCCGCGGCCCGCGGGGCTCACCAACAGCAGGCGCGGCGGCTGGCGAAGGGCAGCTCCGCGCTGACCCGCTCACGGACTCGGT